CCCCCAAAAAAAAAAAAAAAAAAAAAAAAAAAACCGGAGGAAAAAAAAAAACCCGTTACCCGGTTGCCGGATTCCAGAAAGTAAATGGGTTTTTTTTAAAAGGTGGTTCCCAAGGGAGAAAACCCCATTCCGGAGGCCAACCCCGGGGGGGGGGGGGGGGCGTACTCATGTTTTACGTGCCTTACCTGTTAGACCACGCACCACGCGTCCTCGAGAGGATGGAGCATTGTTCCCACACGACCGGTCGCCGATGGCCAATCGTTCCTTCCTACTTTGCCGAAGGTGGCTCAAAAATGTCCCTAGCCTATCTATCCTGTCGATATAACTTCTCGCCGTTTCAATCCATTTCCTACGTCCCAGTATAGCTGCCGCCTTCTCCTGGATATTCCATGCCTTAAACATCTCTCTGTACCTTCCTTGTATATTTCCCAGCTCAGTTATGTACATTTGTCTCTCCTCTTCGTATTCCGTACAATGTATATACCGGGGGGGGGGTGTACTCAGTCGTGCATGCCGTAGTTGTTAGACCATTGACCTCGCATTCCAATAAAGCCGGAACGGAGCACGCCTGGTCTCACCGGACCAGGCTAGCACATCACCAGGTGCAAAGCGCCGTGAGGTAATCGGCGAGTGGCACGGAGGGCGCGCATCCTTCCTAGGGTTTTCGGCATCTTGTGGCTACTTCCTTGCATGCGGATGACAGCTGCGTATGGCTTCATTTATTGTCTGGTGCTTTCACTTCCAGAGACAGTCTGCAGTCGTGGTCCCGGCTTAGCGGTTCCCTGTTCAACGAGATGCCCTAAGTCATGAAATGTCATGGCACGGCTGCACCCCGGTGTAACAACCGCTACACCGATCGTGTCCTCAATAACGGTTGTTGGACATGGTTTTAGCCACCAATAGCGGTTATCGGTTCAAATTTTGCGGAGACCCAGCGCACGCTTCGCTTGCACACTCACAGCACGCAGCGACATTTGGCCAGCCGGTTGGCGTGGTCGATGCTCATCATAAAAAACACACAGCAGGACACACACACACCATGAGGTGCGCCGATGGAGAACAGGCAAGCTTCCAGATGCGACACGGAGTCCAACCGGCGCGCACTGCAAAGAAAGGTGGCTGTGGTGGCCGCATACATGGCATGTGTAGGGAGGTGGAGGATCCGGATGGCAACGAGATGCACCGCTTTATTTGCCACCAGTGTGCAACCAAGAAGGCGCAGAGTTCCCCTCGTGTCTCAAATCCACCCAAGCGCGAAGAGGTGGAAGGTGGCTTTTCTAGCACCAGGCGCGCGGAAAAAAACAACTCGCGCTGCAGCTACACAGCCGCACGCTGCTCAACTTTAGCCAAAAGCTTGAGGTTTTGAATGTTCTTGACCAGAAGGTAGCGCACTCAGAAATAACGCGCAGGAAGATATCGCCAAAGCTTTGCAGAAGGACGCGAATAGCGAGCTCGTTTAGTAGTGCACGAGGGACCTAACCCCTCCGACGACGACCTGGAGCTAGGGCTAGATAATACGCCAGACGTTGACGGTGCGGAGGGCAGGGGGGTGATGGCACCGCCGCCATACTCGGAGCTATCGTCGGATTTTGGCAAGCGTGAAGAACGTGGAGTCGTGTGGCGTGAGCAAGGCAGCACACTCTCTTCGCAAGGCAAAAATGGCGTTCCTCGCAGCGCATGCCGCTCAACCAGCGCGCGAGGCAGATATCAGAGAGATAATGTTGGTTAAGAACGAACTATCGATACACGCGACACATAGCAGAAATGAGATGCTCAAACAAGTGGTTGGCTACCATTGCGTCGTCACGATTTTTCCCCACGTTCGTTAGAGACGCGAACAATTTGCCAGTCTTAATGAGGGCATTCGGTCCAGAAGGGAGAACAAGCTTAGTGCTTTCGTGAATTGAAATGCACTACTGCTGTACTTGTTGCGCTGTCCTCCTTAGGTTCGTTACTTCTTCATCTGCACCTCCGAATGGCTGCTGTAATGAGACACATGGTTGGCCCTATCAAGATGAGTTGGGCAAAAATGGGCTTTTTCCGGTTTAGCGGTTTATTCCCGCTAAAGAGGTTTAGTGGCGATTAGGAGACCGATACGGTCTCTAGAGGTTTCACAGAAGAACGGTAAAAAAAATGTCTGTCTGTCTGTCTGTCGGCCTGTTGCCATTCACTCCGAAGCTCCGAACCACGCGCTTTTTTTACCCGAACGCCCGAGGCGTGAGGAATCAGACCATCGGCCGTACTGCACTACTTGAGACGCCCTCTGCAAGTTTCAGCTTGATTGGTGCCTCCAGCGAAACGTTTGGCGGTGTCGGTAAATGGCCTTACCAGGCACAAAACACGGGCACGCAGCAGCACGAAACAGCACGAAATTGCTCCGATCTCGATGAATTTTCGCCTAACGTTGGCTATCCGCCTTCAAATTGAAGCTCCGTCCAATCTACAACAGAAATGATTGTGTGTGAAAACCTATTTAGACTGCCAACAAGAAGTTCGGAGCACACCCCCGCCGCCTTTCGACGTGGAGTTTTTTGCCGAAATTCGCACGCACACAACAACTTGATGATTGATGACTTCGATGTACTAGTAATTTACAACGTCCCCCTTCGGGACGTGGGTGTCAAGCCTCCCGCGGGCGACGCAAGACAACTAACATGCGCATTGCCCGAATAGGCTGTGTTATATTTTGGATGGGCAGATACATAACGCTCGTATGCCGGCACGTATTCTACATTTATTTGGAGCCAGCTCGAGCGAACAACTAAAACTTGCCAGAGGGAAAAATCAACTTCTTCTACAAATGATATTTGATGTTGTGTGGCAATTTTCCAATCGATGAGCATAGAATTTGGTGTCGAAACAACACCACAAACGTACACAAACTGATCAACACTGCTGTGGGTGCATGCGCTCAGACTTGTCTACAGCAGCGAGCGGCGTTTCCCTGTGGGCCCGCTGCGAAGTGTAGGAGAGCAAATATAGCTACACATACATGGGGCTGCCTCCGCGCCACGCGCTCACGCGCCCACACAACTGCTGCGGTTGTTGTGTACACACCCACCACACAGCATCTGGTGCAAAGGCAACGATAGTAGCAGTGAAACAATAGCATCGGAGCGACAACGCGGCTGGTTGTCGCACGCTACATACCCATGTGCTTCTACGCGATTTTTTCGGAACTATTCTTAATCAAAAAGGACAATTGTTTTACAACGGTTTGCATGAGCCACACACGATCCGCACACCATGAGCAACACGGTACAAAACACAAGAGGTAGGGAGAGAGCAAGAGTAGCGGGTTACAGCCGTACGATTGCGGCAAAGACGCCGCTACCCTATCGTATATGTGTGCTTGAGACTCACCACTCCAATTGCTACAGAGCGGACAACACAGACAAAATTAGGGAACGAGGCCGGCTCCATTTCCTTCCCGATGACCCGCCGGGGTATTTCGCAAGAGGAAATAAATGCTTTTTTCCCGGACTGACCGCAGAGAATCTGCGCAGAAATCTTCCAGCGATGACCGTACGAATACATTAAACACCCGCCAAAAAAAAGTCGCTGAAGAACACAGCAACAGCAGTCTGTCACAGCAGGAGAAGTAGGATCTAAGGCAACGACACCGCAAGCGCATGCGAGGAGTCATCGTGCACGGTGAGAAAAAAATGCTTCCCCGCGATTCGCGGCGAGGTATTCTTCTGCAGTTTTACCGAAACCAACCGTGGCACTACCGAAGATTGAGATATACTACGTTCTAACCGTGATAGCAGCGGCCATGTCCTCTTGCGTCGGCCCCCGGAGGAACGCCCACCTATCTCCCGAATGGGAGCCTTGTACTACAATACCATCTTGACATCGGGGGGCGCCCAAGTCTCCTAAATAGTATCTTGGACCCAAGATCATTCGATTTGAAGCTTTCTCGTTGGCAGCCTATTCGACATGGGTCTCTGTACCCATGCATGATTCGTGGCAAGCCAGCATCGGTCCGTGTGCTCCTCTGCGCAGAGATTTCCACAGCTCAGCTCACGAAGCAAGCACGATAACAAGCGTCCTCCTAGAAACCGTTCAGCGCAGCTCTCACCGCGCAGGCCACACTAGTTTGTGGTATTCGATCCAACGTCTGACTTGAAGTGGCTACGCCCTCTGAGCCATCTGCGAGTGAGCGAAGAGTGGTAGGTTTGCAAGCGGGCCAGTCATCGGATGCTGTGCAGTACTGCACCGACCCGCTTTATACAACAATAACAATTATATCAGAAAATTCGAGAATAGTAATTGTTGTGGGTTGTTCATTAGCCATTACGTCATCGATTGTCATCTATCAGACTAACGTCCTTGATTAGAACCACTAGAAACCAACGCAGATCACTATGTAGGGTGGCATCGCGCCCAGGTAATATTCGGAAAGAACCAAATGAGTACAGCAATCCCGTCTGCGCATGTTTTGTCCTTTCTTTTATTACCCTTCAGGCTTTAGTGGTGTTGGCTTTGGCGTTGATGGCAGAAACAGAAGAAGACCATGGGGACGACGAAACACCTCGATTGCTGACCTGGGTGATGACTGTGGTGATGGCCGGTTACGTTATTGCGGCGCTCGGGGCGCTCGTGATGCAGAGGGGAGCCCGAACACCGGTGTGGCGTTGAACTTAAATATCGCGAGTTCGAAGAAAATGCCTAGTAGTTCGATAAAACGCTGTCACCGATAACACCTGTGTCTGTCCGGGTGTTGTTGAGCTTGGAACGAGCTGAAATTGAGGTCGAACCCATTCACCCATGTATGCTCAGGGACGCACGGTTCGCCCTAATTACGCAGGACGGAATACAGCTTGATTGTGTACCTCGAGGGGATCCACTGGGCGTCAGCGTGGACGAAACCAACGAAGAACACCGACCAAGGTTAGGGGGCATCGTTGCCCGACGTGCCCTTTCGGCGTTGCAGCTCAAGGACTGTGATTCGTCAGTGATATGTCGTTAAACTGCGACCTTTATTTGTTTGTGTTCGCCCCCCCCCCTTCACAGATTGCCTCCACTAGAACCAACACCAGTTCATCGTGTCGGAACCAGCGTCGAGTTCGAAACCCTGTGAGTATGGAGAGATTAGACGACACAACTACCGAGTGCTCCCATTAGCATGAACTCGAGGAGGCGGCCGTTATGCATGTGGAGACTATAGGGAAAGTGTCGCCCATATCGTGCTAGAACGGTCTTGAGAGTGTCGAGGAAAGCTCCGCTGGACCTAGAGTAATTTAGTCTAGACACTCATGTTCACGTCTCGTGTGCCAACGCCCCCCCCCTGGAAAGCACTTTCGAAAGGTATAATGAAACACGGACAAAGAACGGGATGTAGTGAGCTTACCATCACTGGTTTCAGAAACGTCAAAACATTTTGATACTTACCGATATGTATGCATTCAAGTGACCCCCGGAGTGGGCAAAGCAGTGTCATCAAAGAGTGATGCAAGATACAATAAAAACAGGCAACGGGACCAACTCACAGCTGACTGCCAGCTGCGGTGTGATGTTTCCCACACTCAGCAGCTCACACATCTGACGTGTTTTTGACTAGAACAGCCAAGCGTACCTCAAAGAACCGAAAACATAGTTTCATACATCTGTTGGCAGTCTTATGCATACTATCGAGAATACTGGATGAAGTGCACTGCTGTTTTCGACCTAAGAAACATCTGGACTCCATTCCGAAGAGCGCGCTCTATTGAATGGGGCACTGCCGACGACGAGTTGGGAGCTTCGACTTCCGCCATGTCTGCGGTCTCCAGGCCAAAGGTGGCGGCGCACGTTTCCACCAGATTGTATTTTGGGGGGCTTACACCTGTCATGTTTTGTTGCGCTGGCAAGTATCGGAAGGAGGTCGACGTGGGTTCTGAACGGGTCGTCATGTACGAAGCTCCAACTCAGAGTGCGAAGTTTGGTTCTGAACCTCTGACAGGTTATGTTCGCCGCTAGGGAGCAGAAATGAGGAGATTCGCAGCAAAACGACAGAAAACGCGACGCATAAGAGCACCAGCAGTCCAACAAGCCTCTCACAAGCACAAAGCCGTCGCACTCAGATGGAGTGCTGTGCCCGAAGGTGAGCTGTTTATGGTAGTTTCGAACGTTGCTTTATTCGGAGAGACGTAAGAAGAGTGGTAACCTGCCCCCCCAAGGTACAATGTACACGTTGCTTGTTTCTCTCCAACGACAAACATCTCAAGCCCGTTCGTTTCTCGGGAATGTTTTCGTCAACCCCTCCGAAGTTGGACCCCTGCCGAGCGCGCTTGAGTTGTCCCCTCGTGTCCCTCAGATAGACCGGGACCCGCTAGAAAATACAAGGGGGCATCTGAAGCAAACCATGTTCTCCAAACACGGGTAAATACTGCTCTTTGGTCTGGTTTGAGAGGAAGAAATGGTGCACTATCACGTGGGACTTACGCCGGTTGTCTTTGCTCTGCTATACCTCGGTCTATCGTAGTCCCTCAAGTTGGTACATACAGATTAAGAACATTGAACAAACACACAATTTGGGAATGACAATACGGCGATTGGAGTCGGTATCTTCCAAATTCGGTCAGTATGTTCGGGGCATCGGTTCGTTTTTTACGCGCAAGCAGGGTTGAAAGAAAAACAGGCTCGAACCTCACGTATGTGAAACGATTGGTTCTTGACTAGTCCTTCCAAAACTCCCCTTGTTGTTTTGCTCCAGGGGACTTCGTAAGGTCTGTCCCAACCAGGCAACCCCCCCCCAAAAAAACAGCAGTCAGGCCACACGGACACTCCCTAAGGCTCAGGTCGATGAAGACAGCCGAAACAAAGTTTTTGCCGCACGAAAGCGCCGTGATTACTGAACACCATTGTGATTCCATACTTCACCGCGTTATAATCAGGTTGCGCTTCGAGTCTAGAGCCCGCGACAGTTTGTAGCCGAACGATTGCTACGCTCAGGTCGGCGAAGCCAGTTGAAAAAAAACGTCAAAACTCGACTTCAAGCTGGTGTACGGCACGAAATCGTCTTGCTTAAAGAATGCAAGATTGTTGAACCCTTGCTTCTCAGCGCGTTGTACCGTAGTCTATAAATCTTTTCGCACACCCACCACCCCCCGCATCCGAGTGTATTCCCCTGACCCTCCTGTGTGCTCCGCGAAAAATCGCACAACAAACGCTGGATTATCCTTCCCCCCTCCTATCGTTGGCTGCACCCTTCATTGCGATGGAATCGGTATTGTTTCCTTCCCTTAGCGGAGCTATCTTTACGTGTGCCGCTGCCCGTACCCCTGACGGCGTTAACCTCACTGTGTGTCTCTTGTCGTTCATGGTCTATCGCCGACGCCGCCATCCCGACTGCATATCTTATTATTTGGGAGTTTTTTTTTAGGGGGGGCGGATTATGAAGTGACCCCCCCCCCCCAGAACGGCATACTACATCCTATATAAACCATATACCATACTAATTCCTATACTCAAAGGGGACACCGCCCGTATGACCTAGGGGGGTTATTGTGCATCTGCGTGCCCCCTAGCCTGTGCGCTCAACTAGAGGTGCTTGCGGGTGCTGGTGCGCCCTCGCGCGCCTGTACGCTGTGTTGCGTACCAGGGAGGAGAGCATGATGAGCGCGCCCTCAGGGGGGCCCTAGGCCTAGACCATAGGCGTATTTCCGGCAGCAGGATTGGCTGCAGCGACTATGTGCAAAGAAGCAACAGCGAAGGTGGTGATGTGGAAGTACTGCATGTCGTGCCACGTGCAGGAACAGCACGGACAGTTATTGGCACTGTAAGATTTATAGCCGGCTATGACTTGAGCGTCATTACGTTCTGACGTTCGTAGAGCTTTGGGGTTCTTAGGTCACGCGCGCAGAGGTGCGGTTTCTCCAAGAAGTAAATAATGTAGCATCACGTTCTTGTGCTTACTTCCTTGCATATTGATGACAGCTGCGAACGACTAAATTTATTTTCTGGTGCTTCCACTTCCAGAGACAGTTATAAGTACTGTGTAACTTGCCTCGAGGGTATAACACAACGCGGTGCGATTATCCCCCTTGCGCGGAGTGAGGGTTCTCGACCCAGTACAACATATCTTCTCGACCGCCATCATTCTGGCACCGCAAACAAAAAACGAGGCTAAAAAAAGAGCGGTAACCTGGTTGCCGAGATCACGACGTGATCGTCTTGTTTTACAACGTCGTTGCCAAGGGACAAAAACCCAACCCCTATGGCAAACACCGGGGGGGGGAGGGGGGGGATATGTAGGTGTCCGGAGTAACTTTTTCCGGGCACCCTTGGTCGATCCGATGTTTTTGTTGGGAAGAACTTCGACGTGGTGCGAATCTTCACAGCACATGTATCTAGCTATACCCCCGCACAGCGTACACAAAATATTACTCATTCGTATGTGTCTCCCTTTGTTGCAGCACTTCCAGGATGGTACACAAGCACTTAAAGTCATGCTCGGTGTGTTTATTGTAATACTGAGTAACACGGCTGCTGCTGCTGTAGAGCCCAAGCGGGGAGGTATCTATTCCTAAAGTTGGGAGAAACAACAAACGCAGCTTGCTGGATTCCGAGGCCGTCTGCCTGATGTTGTGCTGCTGCTGCATTCATGGCTGTAGTCCTACGCGGCCATAGCACCAACCAGAGTTACACACAGAACAGACAATTTTGGCACACCCAAACAGAATCAATCGCCGTCTCCACACCGGGATCAGCGCTGTGCAACAACGTCCCGCACCAAGACCAAGCGGTGATGACCCACTTATTCAATATCAGACTGCCAACCTTCGAACCTGGATCTACAATATGTTTCTTTCGCTCTCCGTAGACAACAGCAGTATCTATCCGATCCTCGATCTACTTAACACCACTTGCTGATGTCCTCAACAACGACACAACAGTACCTTCAAATACTTCCTTCCATTTTTTCAAGGGTTATAAAGGTGACCTATCTCAGACCGACGGAAGGGGTTGAACCTTCTCTCGACTGTGGACCAGAGGAGACTCCCGGAGCGACGGCGGTGGGGCCGCGAGTGTACAGACTTGCGGGACAGGAGTAGTTATCTAGGAAGGCCAACGGTGGTCTCTGGGAAGAGAGAGAAAGAAGAAGAGTGACAGAGGAGCGGGGCGTGCAGAGCACACCACTCCGCAGCCTTGATGACGCAGAACCGACGTGACTAGGCGGTGACACAGACCACAGTCTGTGCTGGCGTGCTGACGTGGTACAGCACTGACACGTTGCCGGGGAATCTCTCCGGGCGTGACAGGACAAACAACCAGCCGGGCGGTTGCAGTATGCGCAGTACGCGGGCACGTGCATACACTGACATACGGACGCGCGCGGACCACACGGAAAGGTCCGCAGAACAAGCGGAGGAACAGTTGGACAGAGGGCCTCGAGTAGGACGTATGTAGCAGCTACACCAGAGACTCACCGTGTACTCGGTTTTTTTACCTTCGTCAAAATACCGCCGTGGTGGGCGGTATCGGTATACCGCCGTGTTACCGCCACCGCCAAAACAGTTACCGTAGTATGGCGTTACCGCCGAGAAAATACCGCCAATGCAATACCGCCAAAACATTACCGCCATATAGGTACGTTACTGCCTGCCGACGGACTGAGTGGGTAAAGGCCTTGTCTCGTCCAAAGTACAGAAGTCAAAGTGCATGTCGTCGGGGTTAAGAGTCCAGGCGTGGACTTGTTTTGTTTGTTTTTCCGCATTTCTAATTCATTTGTCGTTTGTTTTTGTTTTATTTTTTCATGTTTACTTGTTTATTTTTTCTTCGGGTTCGTTTTCGAGAGAACTGTTTGATATATTGAGTGATTGAGTGGACAGGGAGACAGGGACGCCTGGGGCACGGGACGCGTACACGCCACGCACCTGCTCCACGCCCAGCGTGATCCAGCAGAACAATGAACTCTACAGAGGAGAACACATACACCAGTTCTAATGCCGGTGATGAGTCGACTACTTTGCAGCTGCCTGGTTCGGGCGCGCAGATAATGCTAGAAGGTGCTGCTGTAGCCAAGAATCGTAGAAATCCATGGAGGAACAGGAGGGCAAACACGTCCATTAAGACCTCAGCAAATAAGATCCAACGAACGGTCGTGTGAATCGTGCCGAGCAGGCGATGTAATTGGTACGTTTTACGTTCATTATTCGTTTTTTGTTTATATCCATTTTTGATGTTATTTCTGGACGTCTAGTTGACGCTGAAATGTGAAAGTCACTGGTGAAAACGACAAAACAAACAATGGAGGAAGCACATGGTCAATCTTCGGAAAAGAGGGTTACCGTCTGTTCGGGCGCCGTTGTTTGGTGCCGCTTGAAGTTGTGGCCATATTGCAATCAGTACCGTCGTGAACTACCGCCGTGGTGGCGGTTTTTCTGTTTTACCGCCACCGCCAAAGTCGATACCGCCGAAAAACGCACTACCGCCAACCGCCAAAACAGTAAGCCATATGGCAATACCGCCGAAACATTTCCGCCATTTTTTTTTACCGCCTCCGCCAAATTCTTTACTGCCCAAAATGGCACTACCGCCTACCCCCAAAACAAATACCGCCAAATGGCAATACTGCGGATAACGTGTCCGCCTAAAAAACACAATAGTCTACCGAGTAAACCCTTGCATTTTTTGCCAACGGGTATTACGCGTGGCGAAGTCCAGCCTCCCGTGGGGGCCGGGCGAAGCACCCCTTGTATAACTTAGGGTGATGTAGTTTCCCAAACCGGTTTGACCTTATTTCGTGTGCCGTAGCCGATTGCGCCGCCCTCACTGCGCCACGACCGCGACCGCAATGGGCACGGCACGCATCGCCCAGCAGCTTGTGTGTCTCGCTCTCCCGCCTGACGGAAGGAGCACCGAGTAAGCGCCGAGAGGATGTTCTACGGACGCAGCAGCAGCAGCAGCATCTGTTTTGGTTCACCACACACACCGATTTGACTTTGTTTTTTAGCGCCGCAGCCGGTTGCGCCGCCACCTCCTCACGCTCTACGGCCGCGCTGGGCGCGAGACACGGCGCGCAACAGCTTGTGTGCCTTGGTCTCCCTCCTGGCGAAAGAGTCGGAGGCTGCGTTAGTTTCCCTTTTCCTCGTCTTCTAGGGATTTATTTAGGCGTCCTGTTCTTCGTCTGGTCAGACTTGTTGCCATCTTTGCCCTTTGTCGCGGTGTCCACCATCGCCTACGCTTAGTACTCCTAGTAGTGGTCGTTTCATCGTCGCCCGTCTCTTTCGAGCTTTATTTGCGAACTGCCCTCGTACTTTTTAGCATTTTCGTTCGTCTTGTCCTCGTCCGGGAACGCTTCTTACCTCGTGCAGTGGGCCTTTGTCTCGGCGTTCTGTTTTTCCTGGTCTGGTTGGGACAGCATGTTTTCCTTTTCTCTACGATAACCACCGGTGTTTCTTTCCGGGGTATATATGCACATGCCGTTTGTTTGTAGAACTCGTCATTCTGAAGACGTACGACGGGAACGTTACAATAAGGAATTACACCAAAGATCTTGCCTGTAACACCGCGGCTAACCCATGAGGTCTGCCTCCGTCTCTCTGCCGGCAGCATGTAGTCTATGTATATGAGCATCACTGTTAATTCAATTACGGTCTTTTCTTTCGTGTGCCGCCGAACAAAAGAAAAAGGACTTCAGTTAAGGCCGGGGCTACCCCCGGCTATCATCAATTCATAGCTGCTGGACATCGCGTTGATCTGCCAATGTGTGTGTCACGTACACATACAATATACGCAACATACAGACTGCTTAGATGCTTAGATTTCCTGTGAACGGGAGAAAGTTGCATGCCGGAAGTTTTTTTTATGTGTATGCCTCAAAAAAGCGAGGAATTTCTCTTTTTGCGTTTTGCAAAGGATAACAACTTATGGGGGTTCTAATAAGAACCCAAATTTCACGGGTTGAAAACACGGAATGGTGAAAAGAAAACCGAACCTATTCCCACTTGTTCTAATCGTGATGTCATCGCAACAATACCTGCGCTGAATACACGCTTTGCTCGACATACAACAGGTTGATTTGGTTTTGCTGACCATATAGAAACCATGAAAGCACAAAGGACAGCACATTTCTAAAGACCCCGTCCACCCGGCCTGCTGTTTTCAGCAACAGGCGCAGGGCCGAGTGTCACAACCTGGGTTTTGCTTGCAATTTCTTCGGTTTGCCGGCTCATCTTTCACTGTTGCGATCCCCTTCTTTGACCACCACCTGTCGAAAGGTAGACGAGTTCAACAATAATACATAGGGCGGCATAGATGCTAAGGGCCAACATCATTTACATGTTCAATCCGAAAGAATTTGCGTGTCGGAGGCCCTGTTGCTCTTTTGCTGCTTGGGGCCGTGGATTTGTATTGCTGTCTCCGACCAAAAACAGGCCATGTACCACATTTTTTGCAACGCCATTTTGGTGAGGTGGCACACGTCTCTCTCGCACCTTCTTGAGCAGCACCCAACCCCCCAGTACCCACGAAGCAGCACGGCGCCGGGAGTGAGTGTCGTATAGACCGCCGAACCGAAGGAATCAGCGTGTTGGAGGTCTTGACGCTGCTGCTGTACCCGTTCTACTGTTCCCGTGTTTGTCCTGTGTGATCGAGAAAAAAAACGAGAATTAACAGTAGTTGAAGACAAGAGGGCCATGTAATGTCTCGGTTTGGACCAAGAACGGACTGAACCCGGCTTCTGCCGCTGGATTATGTCTGCAATAGACCTGGACGTGAGTTTGGCAGGCCTTGTTAGCGTTCTCAGTGATGTTTCAGCGCCCGCGGTGCGCCTGCCCGATCCTTCTGTCAAAAGGCTGGATCCGTGAAAGGAGCACCCAGTTTTTTTTTGCCCTTGCTCTTTTTACCGATCCGGTCCCGGAGGCATGAAATTGTCCGTGAAATCTGCACGCAAGAACCGGAAGCGTAATTTTTTCCGAGATTTTTTTGTCGGATAGGTCGACCTTCGAGAACAGAGCATTGCGTTGGGTGCCGGAAGCTCGTCCAATGAGAGGCGCGAATCATTTAAAATGCACATGCCAGCGGAGATTCTCCGGATGGGGGCGAAAAGTGCCGGATAACAGCATACTTCGCGGTGGTATTACTCTGGAAGCGTGCGACCGTCTAGCCCTACGGCGGCGAGGTCGTGATGGGAAGAATGCCGTCGTCGACACCGCGAAGAGTAGAAGTTGTTCGAAGTTCTTGTGCGGGCCAGGCGAAGGGCCAAAGTTCGCATATCGAGCGGGGACCTTCTCTCCCCGCTTCGCTGTGAGAGCTCCAGCTGAGCGAGCTGAGCACTCCTCCAAGTAATCGATAACATGGAAGGTTCAATTATGTTGAATTGTAGTTATAGGTCAAGACTCTCCCCCTACAGCAGTCGTATGTATTTCCATGTTCACTTCGGACAGAGCCCATTGAGCGCTGCGGGCGGGCGGGCGGTGTTGTGTGCCACCACACAGGCCTCTGCCTGTCTGTCTGTCTGTCTGTCTGTCTCTGTCTGGAGCAGTTAGGCGCAGAGCGGCTGAGAACCAAACACAACATGGATTCGGAGCCCCCAAAATACATCATCTGCCTATATTAGAGCCGATTCCCGGACGAAAATGTAAACCGATCGCAACTTCCTTTCTATCAAACATATCAGTCCGAACCACCATCCTCCAAAAATTGGTGTTGTGTTTCTGCTCAGGAAGCAAGACCATTCTGCGCCCGCGACAGTGGCGGATGCACATCTACGTGCGAAGAAGAGCGCCAGAGCTCGATCATTGGCGGGTATCAACATGAGACGGGCCACCGTAGCTCTGGCGGATGACGACGAACCCTGCGGGGAAGACTGCATTCAACCAGGGGAGCCCAACGTATAAGCGTTCAACCAGGAAGGACAAACGACCTTTCTTTAGTCCTGGGTTGATATTTTGTCCGATTTTCGTAAGGGTGCGAGCGAGTGAAAGGCACAGATCAGAGTGGTCGATCAGACTGGTGGGAGCGTCTCCAAAATGCGAGAAAGATAGTGCAGAGCTTCGGACGACGGCCCCCAGGTACCTCCGGGTTATGGTGGGAGGATGTGCTTCACGTAGAGAGGGACCGGTACAGCAGCATACCAAGGGGCATGTTCGATGACTCTGCGAGCAAAGGGTAAATCAAGATTCGACTAAATGAGTTGTTATTTATTTTGAATCCCGACGTTGATGCATGAACCATTTTGTTGTCAACCTCTTCTCGGAGGTTGCCAAAGTTCCGGGGTGTGGATAGTTGAATATTCGTGAACTACTCAACAACAGGAGGATCTGATTTTTATTCGATAGAAGACACCCAACCGGACCCCATATCCATGTTATATGTGCACAACCATGCCTCATCATCACGCGGCAGTTGACCAGTTGCACCACCCGTCATCGCACCGAATGGCTATGCACGTGCATTCGCCTGTGACGTCTGGTACCCTCCCTGTCTCTCTGGCGCCTCGTGTAATATTTAACGAAGGATATCTGGGGTTTTCGGGGCGGGACTGAATCATACAGTAGTGGCAAGTAAGAGAGAAAATGCGGGGAAGTGAGTACTGGAAATTGTGGGCGTGTGATCAGTCGCCGATGGCCTTACGCGCTCTTGTGGCTGGTCAAGGATAAAAACCCGCGGAGTATGTTCGTTCACCCTGGGAAGATATGCATGGGAGGTTAGGGACGATGGGGTTGTCGTCGTGGTCGATCCAACAGAAAGGGAGATGGAAATCCAACGCGTTCCAATCGTAGGACAAACGAAAATGACGTCGAAAAGGCGCCCTTTGCGTTGGCATCGGAAGTTAAACGAAAGGGGCTCCAGATGGGCAGACGGCGCGGTGGAAGGACGCGCGCACGGGTCTGGACCTGGGATTGTTAACGGGATGTTTGTACTTGGGTTTAGGTGAAGGGGACGGGATATGAGGATATATATCGCGTGAACTCCCCCCATGTCTGTGCCAAAAACAAAGTACACGCATTTTACCCACGTGTGTTCACATGGTTCATGATATCCACTCTGTGAATTCCTCTAATCGTCTCTTCCAAGGAAAAGATGAGAGGCCACTGAGGTCTCGAGAGTTTCACCGCGCCGTAAAGAAGATGTCTGAACAAGAAGGGTTGTCAGTCTGATCGCTTTTAGCCAGAAGAAAGACCCGAACCACGAACTCTTCTTTCGTGTCGAACCTCCAAGGTGCGACAAATCACCCCACCCATGGACCCTCCTGCACTGCATCCCGGGTTCCCGGGTCCCGGCTTTCGTCCGCGCACGACCCCACACGCACAGCAGCGCAGCAGTTCACATCAACCCTTTTCCCACGCCACCTCCCTCTCCCCTTGCGCCTCGTACGGCACATGCGCAACAATGCCGCAGGCAGGCCCGTCGCAGACGTGGGAGAGCGAGTACTCGCGCAGTAGTAGTAGTAAAGAGAAGTCGCGGAGTTTGTTTGTCGTCGCGTTCCACATGATGCGAAGAGGGTTGATTTGACATTCGCACTATAATAAAAGTGTTCTGTAGTAAGCTGTGCTGAACGATAGGATAGTGGGAGTATTGGAGAAGGAACGTATGGTAAAAGTGAGGGTGGGGGGGGGGGGGTTTCTCAATGTACTCTAAATCCTACCCGAAGTATATAACAACGACTCCACACTAATTCCTATATATCTTCAACCAATATTTGTCTCACTCTGCTTGCTGTATGTAGGTCTATAAAAAAATACTGATACCTGCGGCGTGGTCTTACACTTCAGGCAAATGCCATGAATCTCCTGAGCCGGTGCCTCTGATACATATACATACATACCTGATCCATCCCGTAGCCTCGGCAACGTTGGTAGTCGAGCTAAGCACACCACAAGGCTCTGTCTGCCATGAAACCCAGGTGGTGAGTCTTGGGTGAGCTACACAAGCCTGCTGTATTGCTGTCAGATCCGCCAAGGAAGAAGGTTCCATCGTCTCGAGAACCATGAAGTCGGCTAAGAAATGTACCAAGAACATGCCGTGTACCAATGTACCGATGGAGTGCATATTCTGTAACCGATGGGAATGGAAATACTCCATGAGTACCCATGTTGACGAATTACACGCTGCGGACGCGAAACTGAGGAAGACCGACTCGAAAGGTCAACAGTTTCTTGAGAGTATTCTTGTGGGCGAAGATGAGAAGAAAGCTGTGGGCGCAATGCTCCAAAAGGATCTAAAACGAGTGGTGGGTGGTGGTGCACACAAGACCACAAGGTGGTGGTGCTTCGTGGGAATACCACGGGGAGAGCTGGAGCCAAAGGCAAGGGTGGCAAAGGGTGCCGTCGAGTGGACACCCCCAGCGAATCGAGCGATTCGTCCAGCGCCTCGAGCGATGATTCCTCCGTCGAGTCTGACAGCGATGATGGTGATGAGGAGGAGAACGTGATTGAGGACGACGACGAGGAGAACGAACAGGAGGACGAAGAAGAAAGAAAGCAGGGTACACCTCGGTACTAGTTTTTTAGGCGGATCCAGGCGGGGCGGTACGTCAATGTGGCGGTACTTTTTTGGCGGTTGGCGGTATTTCGTTTTCCGGCGGTACCGCCTTTGGCGGTTCCCGGTACTGCCAATAATGGCGGTACTTTTTTGGCGGTACGTCAATATGGCGGTTTTTTTTAGGCGGTTCCCGGTACTGCCAAATACGGCGGTATTTTTCTGACGGTACTGAAATATGGCGGTACCGCCTTCGGCGGTTCCCGGTACTGCCAAATATGGCGGTTTTTTGGTGGCGGTACTGCAATATGGCAAATTGACTGGCCGCGGCCCGCATCTACCATGGTGCGAGACTCACTTGAGGATTGCAGCTCTAGTTCCCTCGTAGCCACCGATTCCACATCCACAGAATCGCTCCCGTCCACAGAATCACCGGCAGCACGCGCCACCGACAAAGCAGCAGACCCATCTCCTACACTACTAGTAGCACCGGGATTCCCCTCTAACGCGCTCATTGCTCTGCTGGGCGCTGGGGCAACTGCTGCGTGTGTGATGTGTGCGTTCGAACCAGCGCTTTAAATAGGTGTTGCGGAGTTGCGGAAGCGCAACAATTGGATGGATATTGCGGCTTGCCGCAACGAAAAATTTTAGCCCGCAACACGTTCGCCGTAGGCGAAATATTTTTTTGGGGGGGGTCCATTTCGCCGTAGGCGAAATTTTTTTTTTGGGGCCCTTTTTCTCGCCATTATTAAATGACAACACTATTTTTGACGTAATTTCCTTTCAAAACCAAGTAAATATAAAAAAAAACGCCTCCGGCAACACGCCTGCGGCGTGTTGTTGCGGGAGCCTGGCGGCTCCGCAACAGCCGCTTCGCGGCTATTTAAAGCGCTGGTTCCAACAGCTGACGATCGGCGACAGATGAAAGAGGTTCCGCCGAAAGGAACAAGGCAGAACCAAAAATATATATATATATATATGTATGACGAAAGAGAACAAGAACAAAGAATAAATGTGAACAAAGACGCACGCAAGTTGGACTCGAACCACTGTTCTGCGCGAGACATGGCGTTGGAGTTAGTAGTGCCCTATGCTACTTTAGAGGGCAAAACTGTAGTATGGCGGTACGATTTTGGCGGTACTGCAGTACGGCGGTATTTTTTCGGCGGTACTGCAATATGGCGGTTCTCTTTTGGCGGTTCCCGGTACTTCGTGTTTTGGCGGTACCATTTTGGCGGTACTGCAGTACGGCGGTACTTTTTCGGCGGTACTGCAATATGGCGGTTCTTTTTAGGCGGTTCCCGGTACTTCGTTTTTTGGCGGTTCTTTTTCGGCGGTACTGCAATGTGGCGGTACTTTTTAGGCGGTCGGCGGTTTTTCGTTTTTCGGCGGTACCGCCTTCGGCGGTTCCCGGTACCACCGAATGTGGCGGTAATTCCCGCCAGTACCGGGACCGCCCACCACGGCGGGAAAAAAACGGCGGGAATTTTCCCGAGGTGTACCCTGAAAAAAAGAGGAAGAAGAAGAAAACGTAGGGGGTAATCAAGACGACGAGAAAAGAAGTCGGCGGCGAGGGGGAGGCGGGTGGTAGCGACAACGGCGCGTCTAAGGAAGTTTTGTGTAAAAGGTAGGTTTGGTCGGACAGTGACGAAGAAGAGGAAGTGGAAGGAAGGCTAGTCATAGGATGATGAGTAGGGGCAAGAAGGCGAGCGGAAGGGGCGTCTTATTGGGGGCGGGGGGCAAGGCGGGGGAGGAGAACCAACTTGCGAAGAATCGCCTGAACAGGTACCTTCTGGGGTGATTGTGCCATAGAACATAGTATAGCCGGACTCTTACCGGGACCAAGCTTGCCGGGACTGGAATAAATACTGTTGTGTGTTGGTGTGGGCCACTTGTTGTTGTTGTTCTCTTCGCGTCAAAAGCCGTTCCGATCTCTAAGCCCAGTGCTTTCGTCTGTCCATACTGATCTAACAGTAAACACGCGCGGTCGATTCCAGCGGCCACAGGCTTGGGCAACCTCAAATAAAAAGGAAGAGCCCGCAAGCCAATAGAAATCAACGACAGAACGACCCCCCGAGTGCTACGCGTTTGGCGGCGGGTTTGATGTTTTTCATTTCGCTGTCTTTTGTCGTGATGAGCTTCGGTGTGAAAACCCGTGATGAGAAATATTGTATATCATCTGCGCCTCAACAGAAAATTAAATGTGATCCTCTTTTGTCATCGATGTGACAATCATTCGCAGGACGAAGCTGGCCAATAAACAGAAACTCGAGAAGAAGGCGTCGCCGACGTTACATGGTTGGTTCAAACCCAACCAAGCTGCCGCAGCCTCGCCCCCGGTCGCCAGCAGTACGCAAGCGAGGCAACAATTGGCGGGTGCTGGAGTCGCGTGTCTGGACGAGGTGAACAACGAGAGCCTCTTCCTGAACCATCCAGCGCAGGCGACAACACCTTGGCCCCCGTCGCTACCGCTGCGGTAGACCCTGAAGTAAGTGCTGTGTGTGGATGAGGACAGCAACGGGAGTCGTGATGAACCACTCGACGACGATGACAACGGTGACAACGGCAACTAACCGGACTTCGGCGG